TACATACATAAGATTTCATGTTTTTTAACTGAACCAAAAGTTGCGATTTCATTAAATCCCGATTCCGTTAAATTTTATTAAATTTTAATTTCTCTTTCATAGGACACCAAACTCAGGGTGGTTCGATGTTTTCTTGAAATATCATTATACAAAATACTTGTTTTCGTCAAAATGGCCGCATTGGACGCCCCTTCCGATTTCTAGGTGTTCGCCACAAATTAATAAAAAAAAACGTCTCTAAAATATTGTGTATTATGATAAAATCTTTCGTTAAAACAAGGTGTGCTTAGTTTGTGAGGGAAAGTGGCAACCAACTTAAAAAATAAAAAAAAATAAGCACGATATTTGACTCTGGCTCACTTACATAACGGTCGTTAAGTGGAAAAAAAACACCTGCAATTTGCTATTTTGTACGCGCATTAACATCGCCTGTGCATCGCAGTGAATCGGAAATGCAGGTTGCGCGCGCGCATGCGCTGGTCAGCAAGCGCATATGTAGGTCGACCAACGAACTCAAACCGACTCGTCAATAATTTCAAAATATGTTGACTTTTCGATGGGCTATAAATTAGGATAGGCCGATCCATATACAGCCAAGGCTAGCCTACGTACTATAATCTAAGCTAAGAGCTACAGCAGTCCGGTATAAGGTTGTGAGAACATTCTAGACATGTAAGTTTGATTTCGTAGTAATAATTTTACTGTGAGTGTGACTGAGTTATGACTAGATCTTAGTATGAGTATGAGTATGAGTATGAGAATGAGTGAATATCAATAACCTAGCCTAACTCCTGGCCAGGGAGCTCCGCCGCCACCGGAGCTCCAAATCCTACACATTTACAATAGAAACAGCTGGTTAGGCCATATTTTTTCGAAATGTAAAGAAGTAGTAATTAAAATTTGATTAACAACGTTTTTCGACTCTTTTGGCCCTCGAGTTAATCACTTGGAATTATAATTTGAAGATGTCTTCGACGGGTGATTCCTTGTCCTAAGCTAAGCCAATTCATCCATGTTGTATATCGTCGACATGCATAGCGCGCGCATATCGCATGCGCGGTAGCGGCGCAGTACATAGCTAGCTAGCCTACACGGCTAACAGCTGTAACATCATCTATTTATAGAATTTTTCTTGATTTCGTTCTTTCCAAAAGAGCATCAAAAATAGAGTATAAATGTCGGAAACCAATTGAATATGTTAAGTATTGGCTGAGATATGACCATCTGAATAAATAGATTTCCTATAGGAACTCAGTCAGTGTTAATGTTAATGTTACTGTAGTGTTAGGCCTATGGCCAGGCGCGTACGCAGGGGGGGGGGGAAGTTTGGGGGTTAACCCCCCCCCCCCCCCCTTTGGTAATTTTATGTAGATGTAAAACCTTTAAAAAAAAAAAAAAAAACCCTTTTGATTTTTTTTTTTTTTTTTTTTATTAAAAAAAAAAAAAAAAAAAAAAAGTATCTAGACTAGACTATGCCCACGGCCGACATAAAAAAGGTGACCTTACCCCCCCCCCCCAACTGAGCAAATGTCAAATTTCCAAATTTCGAGACCAAAAAAAAAAAAGTTTCCTCTTGCCGACATAAAAAAGGTGACCTTACCCCCCCCCCCCCCCCCCCCCCCCCCAACTGAGCAAAATGTCAAATTTCCAAATTTCGAGACCAAAAAAAAAAAAAGTTTCCTCTTGCCGACATAAAAAAGGTGACCTTACCCCCCCCCCCCCCCCCAACTGAGCAAAATGTCAAATTTCCAAATTTCGAGACCAAAAAAAAAAAAAAAGTTTCCTCTTGCCGACATAAAAAAGGTGACCTAACCCCCCCCCCCCCCCCCCAACTGAGCAAATGTCAAATTTCCAAATTTCGAGACCAAAAACAAAAGTTTCCTCTTACCCCCCCCCCCCCCCCCCCCCCTGCTTATTCAGCGGCTGGCTGAGTCGTTGCGAAATTTTCGGACCGATTTATAAATGTTAAAACCCCCCCCCCCCCCCCCCCCCCCCTTGAAAAAATCCTGCGTACGCGCCTGCCTATGACTATGCATGTACAGTGTATACATGTATGTAACTCTACCAAAAAATGTATCATTAACGACCAATTGTCAAATACATTTGCAACAAGGAGATGTGAGTTGGTCTAGCGGTACGCAGGTTCGATCTCTTGGTCAGCTCTCTGTCTACGCCTACAAACTGGCTCGGGACGACCACGGTTCGTAACGTCCCCAGACGTAAAATAATCATATCTGATGATACACGTCTGTAAAATCGCAATTAGTCTAGGTCTACACCCACATCCTACAATTCATGCAGAAAAGTGTGATAATGGACAACTCATTTCCTGGAATAAGGTTTAGTTCAATTTAATGTTTGAATATTTCCCACCAGGGTGTGTAGATTCACACTCTACATTGTTTTATCTTCATTCAAATAAGTTATTATTTGTGCCAGTTTTCATTGGGATATTTTTCAGTGAGCGAGGTATAGGGTTGGTTAATGTTAAAGTTTTTACTCTTAAATGTACTATTCTAAGCAACAACCCGCAGAAGAAGAAAAACGAGTACAATTTGTATATTTTTTCAATGTGTGTGCTTCTTTTGATACAGTTTAACATGTTCTTTTAGAATTGAGTGTTCACTCCACATGTTTATGATAAGACTTCGAATACAGTCCTACATTTATCACTAAGGGGGATGCGTTTGAGTGGAATTGAATGGAAGCATACAAAATAAACCTTTTTTTTCTTCGCACTGCCAATTTATAAGATTGTACTTGCCATAGCCTGAAAGCCATATCATGCCCATTCATCACTGTAAGCAGTCGTTTGACGCCCTATTCATCACCGTTTTATTGCTTTCCGGTGTTTAAAAATGATTCTAGCTCAATAATCTAAACATTCTTAGGCTTTTCTTTGTTAAAAGTGTGGTTTTTAGAGTGAAATAGTTTTCCCCCAAATTTGCTAGGCGGTATTTACTTCCAATACAGTCCTAAATTCTCACAAAGGGGGATGCGTTGAAGTGGAATGGAATGCACGTATAGAAATTAAAACTGTATTTCGCACTGCCCATTTCTAAGGTGGTACTTGCCATAGCTTCAACATAGCCTGAAAGCAATATTATGCCCATTCATCCTTTTAAGCAGTTGTTTGACCTTAAATCAAATCACCTTTTTATTGCTTGATGGTGTTTGATAAATATTCTTGCTCTATAATCTAAACATTTTTAGGCTTTTCTTTGTTAAAAGTGTGGTTTTTAGAGTAACATAATTTTTCCCATTTCCCCCAAATTTGCTAGGCGGTATTTTAACCGGCTGATCCTGGTGATATGTCGGGACGCGAAACAAAATTAAAATTGTCAGTTTTGCCTACAGTCCTTTCAGTTTTTCAACGAAAAGTATGCATCAAATAGCACTCATTACGTATATATTTGTCCAATATGATATTGTTCAACAAATGTCTTGAAAACGATTAATGAAATAATGCATGCAACCTTCTTCAAATAATCAACCTGTCTATACAAATAACGTGTGGGTTAACGGGGAAAATGAAGCTATTGGCGGGGGGGGGGGGGGTACTCACATATTTTAGACATACGGAGATGCGCCGCTCTAATGGGTCGCTTTTTACGCACAAAAATCCCTAAACATGGGTCCCATTTTGTACAAAAAATATCACTAAAATGGGCCGATATTTCGAGAAAAATGTGCCGGGGGGGGGGGGGCATTTACCATACATGCCAACTGTTCAGATTAAAGAGGAACATTCCTCTTTTTGGGAGAAGATAATTATCATTTTAATGCAGGTGTTCCTCTTCCTGTACAAATTTATCTGTAGTATTGAATAGGAGAGTTAGGATTGTTCCTCTTTTTTTGAAAATAGCATAATTTGTACAGATTTCTGATTTTCAAATGTTGGCATGTATGCATTTACTATAGGCTTTACTTCTTTCTTAGATCGCCTAACAAACTGACCATCACTTCTACATGTACATGTATCCTGTTCTCGGAACAATTTATGTGGGACGTTAGGCACTTACAACCTATTTCATGTTATCCTATGTTTTTGGATAGTGTGGAGAACAAAATAAGACAGGTACACTGTATCTATGTTTCTCACTGTGTAGCGTTGTCTTTCTTTTCAGCGAACTCACTCAAGCTACATGTAATTGCTACCTCTCCCATGTATAGAGCTGCATCGATGCAGCATGTTTCTACCTTCATTGTACAGGTTAATTGGATTTCCCAACGCAATTAAGTAATTTCATTGTCCTATTCACTACTATTCGAACTCGACAGTTGCTTTACATTATTTTGAACTGTATGTGTGTGGTGACATCGAGTCCAATCCTGGGCCTGGTTAACCTGCACTTAGAGTGAGGAAGTACTGTACTCTATAACTGAACTGTATAGTTCGAGTCCATTACCTCATCAAAATAAAGTCCCAAGTGAATCATGGAAGATTAATTTAGATTATGAAAGATGAATATTCTATCACACCGTGGTAAACGTTTATCGGTACAAGAAAAAGAAAAACAATGTTATTCCTGTTATCATGACCTCAAGAGACAGATAATAAAGAAGGAGTGAAAGAAAAGTGTGCATTTCAAATTTAATGCACATTACAAAGTAACGAAGCATTAAAACCTCCAAACCACTTCATTGTCATCACTCCCCTCTGTGTATGTTGTTCACCACCAATCGGTTAACAAACTGGACGAGTCTAGAATTTAAAACGCGAAAATCCTCGTGCCTGGTACCGGTACATCAAAGTAATGTCTGTGAATAAGCAAACCGAGCTCACAGTTGAAATACCAGGGGGTGTTTCATAAAGCTGTTCGTATTTTCTTTATTCACAATTTATACATATAAACATTGAAAATAGATTTTAGCGATGAATAAACTAGTTTTTTTTTTTATTGAAAATGTCCTAATTCATTGATTTTATATTTTCTAAATTGTAATTTTAAATTTGCAATTTGGGTACACTTTTTATGTCATTGTATTTTACTTGGATCTGTTTTTTCCTCTGTTTGTAATTTGTATATGTTTTTTTTAAATATATCAATTCAGTATCAATTCACTCGTAAAGCCTGCGAGTATTGAATAAAATAAATCTTGAATCATCTTGAAATCTTCTGTTTGACAAGACTTAGAAGAGCTACCCGTGACATTTGACTTTCTTACTGAAATTCACTACTCAATATTATCGTTTTTCCTTTATTTATCTCAGACACAACTGTGCAAGATGCCTAATTTTGCCAGCTTCAACAGAAAACAGTACCTTTTCGCTCTTCTTCTCGTGTGTTCTGTCATGTGCTACGTATACACCATAATGATGTCTCCCGAAGGTCTAGATTGGTCCATCACTTACAGGAGAGATCGAGACGAACAAACAAGGTTTGATTCCCAAATTATTAATTTCACTTTACATCAAATCTACGAAAAGGTTCTTCTTTTGTTTGCCTCCGCAACGAAGTAGCAGGAGTCATTGGCCCGAATTCACAGAGGAGGTTTGTCGACAAACCTAGGTTTATGTACGTCATATGACGCGTTTTGACGCGTTTTTTACAAACGCGTCGAAACGAGTCATATGACGCACGAAAACCTAGGTTTGTCGACAAACCTTCTTTGTGAATTCGGGTCATTATGTTTTCGGGCTGTCCGTATGTCCGTCTGTACGTCCCGTTCTCGTGATCGCGTTATCTCAAGAACCAATCAATGGATTCCCGCCAAACTTGGGCCATATAAATGAAGTAAATAGATTTTAGGGTCATTATGTCAAAGATCAAAGGGTCGTAAATGTATATGAAATTCAGCTGGTAATCACGATATTCTGATAACCTGTTAATGGACTACAAACAAACTTGAATTTAAAAAAATTGCTTCTGTTTAGGTTTTTAAAATCGCTATGTGGCGGAGGCATCATTTTCGACTGCACGCAGTCGTAGATCCATCAAGTTTTCTTTTCAGTTTTCTTCTTCTCCTTCGTCTTCTTCGTCATCATGTTCTGCTTCGTTTCATCATTCGTTTTATCCTGCTTCTCCTTTTCCCTTTTCCTTTTCCTTAAAGGGGAAGTCCACCCTGAAATTTAGTTAGTTTTAATAGGAGTAGAAAAATGAGAGAAACAAGTCAGTGAAAGTTTGAGCAAATTCCGATTAATAATAAGGAAGTTAGGATTTTTGAAGTTGTGATCAATCAAACACAAATTGGCAACTCTATGACGTATCATGCGAGCTCAACTTCCATTTGCTCAGTACTAAAAAAATCTAAAATTTTCATTTTCCCTCAAGAAAAATTTCAACCATACATGCACCCTAAATATAATAATTGCAAATATGTTTCTATACTCCCCCTGCAAGGAACAAATATATATTCCGTCATCAATAACGAAGAAAACATGATTTTATGGAATATTATGCACAAAGCAAATGAAGGAGAGCTCGTATAATAAGTCACAGAGTTGCCAATTTGTATTTGATTGATCACAACTTCAATAATTCATAACTTTCTTATTTTCATTCAGAATTTGCTCAAACTTTCACTCACCTGATTTTCTTATTATTCTGCCTCTATCGAAACAAACTTATATTGGGAGTGGACTTTCCCTTTAACCCGTTCTCCTCCTTCTGTTTCCCCTGTTTCTTATTCCCTTTCCTATTTCTTCTTTCTTCTCCACGTTTCCTTGTTTACACGTATAATGAATGTAGTCGGTGATACACCCTTTTAAACTCAGAATAGCTGGCTTAGAGGGGCATTTGTATTTTGTAGGAATTATGCTTTGAGTTAGACCAAACAGAGCAACTAGGAGAGGAGCTCGCAAGATACGTCATAGCGCTTCCAATTGCGTTTCAATGATAACTTTAAAAATGCATAACTTTCCTATTCCTAATCGGATTCTGCTCAAACTTTCGCTGACATGTTCCTCTCTTTTTTGTGCTTCTATTAAATCCAATTTGATATCAGGTGGACTTCCGCTTTAACAGACTGTGACAGGGGTATCGCACAATACTCCCGTCCGCGACTTTTTTCTTTACACAGCTGTTTAACCAGTTCAGCAAATGTACTGTGCGAACGACTAGAGTCTAAACGTTAAAGGTAAAGACCAGTATTGGAAACGCCCCAATTTCAAAAAATGAAATGGAAGCTCTCATTACCAATCATGTGAAAGAATATGTTTTGACTAATACATGATGATAACAAATTTGCCGGGAAACCGCCTACTAATTCATATATTTGGTAAATTTGTTTCTCTCATGGTCTGTGAGAGATATAGGGTAGTCCCATATACATCTTTCTGTGTATAGTGCTTGTAACTTTACGAAGAATGGGCCAAATTTCTTATCATTTTGATGATTCCAGAACCTTGCAGATGCTAGATGCTAGATGATCAACCTTTTCTGATCGATTCCACAACGTTTCTTTCACAATGCAATTGCATGACCATAACTGGTCTTTACCTTTAACCCTTCGCGGTATTTTTATCCCTTATCCTTCCATTATTTTCTCGTCTATCCTCTTTCTATAACCATCTACACACCATTGTTGAAGTGCTTCATATTTGATTAATAGAACCATGTTTTGCAACCAATCATTTTGGTTGAATAATTGCTAATTACATAGATACGATCTACTTGGCATGATAAATGCATGATAAATTTAGTTGTCTGATTCTATTGATGTACATGATTGTATATACTCTACGTGTTGTCTGTAGAATACACTTAATCACTCGGTTGGTTGCACCCTCCCCATCAAACCCTACCGCACATTTGACAAGCTGGTGTTTCGAACACTGTATTCCCCCTTCTTAGTATTCATCCATTCATTTGCGTTTTCATTTTTTTTTTTTTTACAAAACATGTTCCTTTCAATATATTTCTCATAAAGAGGTGTGTATTTTCATGAAATGTTTTTTTAGAAATCATATTCCGATAAAATAAAATGATAGATATTAGAAAGTCTCAACCTGTACATGAACAAAATTAGAATATCTTCGATGATATATGTATGTAAAGTGTCATTTATCAAAACGAAATGAACCTTTCTTTCATTGGCAGTCTATGGAACTTTAGAGATATTGGAGACCAACAACTATATCTATATGAAAGCGTACTGCAAAATAAATGGAGGTCAAACGTTACCAAAAGAGATAATATGAGGTGAGAAGATTATTTACAAAATGCTATAATTCGTGTGCTTGTTTGTTTTTGTCGTTGTTATTGTTACTGTGGTTATTGTTATCATTACGATTATTATTATTATGATTATTATTATTATTATTACAACTACTACTACTACGACTACTACTACTTCTACTACTGCTACTACTACTACTACTACTATTACTACTACTACTTCTTCTTCTACTACTGCCACTACTACTATATCATCATCTTGTTATCATTAGTAGTATTACTGTTATCATCATTACCGTTGTTTTTTGTCATCACAAGCAATAGTAATCGAGTCATTGCCATTAATAGAGCATGACGATTAAGTTCAGTCTGGAAGCGAAAAAGAAATTTGACTGAAGCTTCCAAATCTCTATTTCAGTTTCATATATTCTCTACATTAAAGGCATCGTTTAACAATGTTTCCAGTTATACAAATATGAGATGCATGGCCCTAAGTGGTATCAGTGTCTGTAATATCGTATAGTATTGAAGCGCTTCAAAATGATCATGAAGTGCCTCAAAAAAATAAAAAATCTTTGAGTGACCGTTTATGTCATACTCATTTCCTCCAGTAGACTGTTAGTGTTATAAAAACCGTATAGAAAACTGTTTTCGAAATTTCGATTTACAATCATAAATATCTTGATAATCAGACAGGCGATCGGCTTGTAAAAGTCATGGGGTTCTGATGACTGATCTAAAGGTTTATAGATTATTTTTGCAGCATGAGCTAAATCCAGGATTTTGTTTAGAAGCTGAGGCAAAGATACATATGAACATATATATATATATATATATATATATATATATATATATATATATATATAAGTACAAGACTAGAGGATAAAACAAAGAAAATCAAAACGTAAGAGGATGGATTTAATACCTTTAAATGAAATGCTTGTGAGTGGGGTCTCAGATTGTTAGATGTGATCTAAAAATGTTCAACATGGACACGAACCTAGAATCTATGTTTCAATTATCTGATGTTCCATCCCCGATTTTCGAAAAGCAACAGTTAAAATATCTGAAATAAATTCCAAATAAAAGATAGCGTCGAAGGCTGTCTGCCCTAGCTCGCCCCATTGCAATCATACACGCGTTCGTATCAAGCGTATATATAGCTGACAATGGGTTTTACAATTCTCCACTAATAATCACCAGATGTATTTTCAAGTGCGGTAAATGGTCTATTCAATATTCCTTGTTTCACTTCTGTATCTTTATTTAAGTGCTTCCTTGTTCTGTTTTTCCCTAAAAGTACGGTCACAAAGGTTCAAGTTCAAGTTTAATGTTCCACATTTTACAGAAAATATAAACATACATATCAAATAACAAATAATACATTACAATTGTAGTGTAAATGAGCACATGTCATTGATTCTCAATTCACATAATAGATAATGTAGAATGTGAGGAACCTATTAAAAAGCGGGGCTTTTATAATATAGGTTCCTGGAAGAAAAAAGTAATGTAGATAACAAAAACAGTAGCAGTTCGTACGAACGATGCGCTCGTACGAATCTCCCTGTTTTTCCATCGTCTTACCGAATTTCCATTGTCTGAAAATCGTTCGTACGTTCGTAGCAGTTCGTAATGGCATTTGTGACCGAGGCTTAAAGAACTTCATTTCTTTGTACGCTTTTACTTGCAGACAAGAGCTGGCAAACTTTCGTTCGGAGCTGAGTGGCAGCTGGCTGGTTGTTCTACATCAGGAGAACATTACAGAGGAGGAAGGAGCCAAGTTTGTATTCAACCACAAATTTAATGGCATATCACCAGAACTATTCAAACAACTCCCAAAGGTAACATAGACATACAATGCAAATATTGATGTTTCATCATGTGTATAAATATGATTCCTGAATGCAATATACACAGGAAAGATATTTGGGGGGAAATATCCAGATATACTCCCGAATTTATTTCCTGAAATGTAAGGATATAATGTATGAATGATCAGATTTCTTGTGTTGTGACCTTTATTTCGTTATGTACGTGTATTGATTTGGTTTTGTATCGGCAGGGTAGTTGTTGTTACTCTTGAAATAAGAGGCCTTTTGCTGTTGGATGTGTGATATAGAATTCAGAAATATGTTCCGGCGTGCTTACTTTGTTCCATTGGATCTTCGCGTCGTCGGGTTACAAGAAATTTCATAAATAACCAAGCCCTAATTCCCGAAGAGTTCTTCAAAAGGCCAGCGATCGACACTTCGTCATTGTCTGATTGTATTGGCATGCTTTCAGAAATGTACCGGTACATGTTAAAAGATTGGCCTTATCTGAAGGGCCATCTTTGAAAACAATTGCGGTTATTTTCTTTTAGCTTAACTGATCTTTCTTAAAGAAAGGGCCATTTTTTCACAAAATATCGTGTTACCCGACAACCCGACCCGATTCGAAGATCCAATGGAACGAACCAAGTCCTTCCGGTGTATATGGTTTTGAGAAAATCCAATGGTTGATGCCTATATGACATCAAGATTTATTGTTTTTTCTGAAACCTTCAAAATCGATATTTTTATCTGTTTTAATATCGAAAACGAATCATTACTCAATACCTGCAATAACAATAATAATCGGCAGTCTAGCATTGCTGGGTAATATTGCAGCACCTTGCAAGGTGGATATGTGCTCTATATAAATATCCAAAATTATAGCAGGGTAATTTTGGAGCACCTTGAGCACCTTGCAAGGTAGATATATGCGCTATATAAATATCCAATATTATTATTATTATGACATTACACATGTATAACATTATACTTTTCTTTACTCTTTTGACCCGATTCCTGCAGATTAATCCTTTATCTCATGGAAAGAGATATCGCTCGTGTGCAGTTGTTGGCAACAGCGGTACAATGCTACACAGTGGTTGTGGAAAAGAAATCGATAAGCACGATTACGTATTCAGGCAAGCAGAATGAATCTTTTTTATTTGACCATAATTTATATCAGGGTTCCCACGGTCAGGGGAAAATATATTCTCTTGGAGAGTCGTGGAAAATCATGGAAAATAATCGTGGGTGTGGGCCGTGTGTCGCTATAGCAACCTTCCAGTTGAACTGACAACGGGCGTGGTATACGTACGCCCCTTGGATACCACAATCCATATGAAAATTGTACTTCTCTGGTCATAGTAAAATAAAAAAATTAAAAAAGGCTAAAATGTGTCATGGAGAGTCATGGAAAGCCATTAATTTGGTTTTCAAATTTCTGTGAAAACCCAGATATATTTACATCTGAAGTTGAGCGATAGATTAATAATGATAATGAAATACGATCGTAAAGGCAAATTAAAAAAAATCAACCATCAAGGCACTTTCCACGGCCTAACCCATCACCTTCTTAAAGGTGCTATGTCCCATTTGCAGGCCAAAAAATGAAAAGGTTAAATTCCAACGGCATTTGAAAGATAATACTTATTCAGAAATTCCCTCAAAACGAAAGGGCTTGAAAATGTATTTAAGTGGGAAACTAACGAACATTACTTGTCGAATCAACTTTAGCGATTGCTATCATAATAGTAACAGTCTGATTTTCATACCCTTGTACGAATGGTCGTATGTAAATTACCTTTACAGCTCATTTTAGGTATGTTTTTATCAAAGAAAAAAAAAAAGTCAGTCAGTCACTGAATAGTGAAGTCTAGAAAGTAAACAGGTTTTCTTGCATAATTTGAATAATAGGACACTGCTTATGTTTACATTTCACATAAGATTCACATACTCATAATTCCTGCAAAGTTCTACAGAATTTGATGTTGGCTGCAAATGGGACATATTACCTTTAAATGTGCACAGGGGGTGTTTTTTTAAAGCTGTGCATAAAGTTATGCATGATTTGATTATGAAGAGCTCAATGGGATTCTCAAATCCTTTTAATTGCATAAGCTAAAGTTGAAATATACATATGTAGATTAACCTTGTCATTATTAACAAATTATTTTAATGCAAAGTGTATTTTTGGCTACAATTTAATTGAAATAATTGGAAATACAGTCACACTTTGTTGAAATGTCACGTAAGACTTTGGGCATCTCATTTGGCTCTTCATATTCAAATCATTTGTAAAGTCATTCGTAACTTTACGCACATCTTTATGAAACGCCCCAGGTTACATATATTTATAACACACAATTTGAACATCATTTAATTTCCATTTGGAAACGTTTGCTTGGATTTGTCTATAAAAGAAATTAACCGCAAACTGGCTTCATCAGGCAGGTCGTTCCATTGTCTGAATGGGTCAAGGCAAATTAACTTTGACACAATAATGGGAGAGGCACTTTACATGTACAATAGGGACACATTGCTATTGTTTAGTGAATGAAACTATAAAAACAAAATGAAATTTGCGTACTGGCAAATTGAGTACAAAGAATAATAGCAGGTGGATGAAATGCTTCAACACCGCAAACACCTTGGAAGGATGCATCCATAAATTTGAATACATTTAGTTGATAAACGACTCCGCATATGGACGTTTAGTGGAGCAGAAAGCAGTGGATTCTTGAAAAACAAAACGGAAATCATTTAACAGAATGTCGGTACGTAAATAAAATTTGGGGCTGATGGAAAATGCATCTTTACAAGACGCCGTTTTAGCGCCAATGACGTCATTAGAAGCTGTTTATTTGCGCGTGCATCCGGGACTTCAGACGCTGAAGGTTATTTGTCATTTGTAATGTTTCCTGTATTCCGACAAAAATATACAATCAATCAAAACAAGATTAATACCAGAAGACAGTTAACGATTAGTATATTCATTAGCCGCTCATCCCAGAGCCGCCTGGCCACAGTGGAACGAGTGTGAGCTTACGAGAACGGTCGAAGTGTGATTGAAACTCGCTATTTTGCTCTTCTCCAATGCAAAAAGAGACGACATTGTGCTGGATTTGTAGGTTTTTTCCGACAAAAGTACTGAGAAATTGCATATTATTTTGTTATATTATACTTTTTGAAAGGTTGCCCAAGTGCCTCCCGGGCACCCCAATTTTTATAGAAAACTTCACTTTTCCAAAAATGTTTATTTGTTCTATGCACGTAAGTCAGATTGAGCGGATGATACAACGTTTCCATATGTTTCCAACATGCAAAAAAAAAAAAAAAATACCCCGAAAAAGAAATTTACATTTCATCAATGACAAAGTAATACACAACGATTTATGTTGGATATAATGAAGGGCATCGAAATGGCACTCGAGTTGATTTACGATCATGTTACATTTTATGATGAACGAACAAATAATCATGATACTCAAAACTATGCAAAATTATGATTGCACTAGTCATAATGTTGAACGTAATCCGATCTTCACCTCAGGAGCATAATCATTAAGATAGTATTATCTTCCTCTTTTAAACTGCCTGTCACTGTGGATACGAACCCATTTAATCCATCTTTATTATGGCAGTAAATATGATCTTTGTTTCACCTCGAATTGAATCTTACTTGTCCCGTTTTTTCCAAAGTACTTAATTTATTCACCTGGTTTTTCTTGATGTCAATATTTGAAATATGTGTCATGAATAAGCAATAGGCCATTACATCTGCATGTTCTGCTTCAATTTGATATAAGTGGGTTTCAATATTAGGAAATACAAGGAAGCAACTTGTACATGATTTCCAGCAGTTCAAGAGGCGTCGGATAATTGTATTCTAGATTACTATCTGTGCCTTCCAGTCCAAACATGCATCTAATTACAATTCTGTTTTCTCAACATACAAGGATGAAGTCTAGGAATTATTTTTTAGCTATTATAATAGTGGACACTGCATATCGCGTGCACTTTTGAGTTTAGTTTAGTTGAGTTGATTGGTTTCACATTTCACATGCAGATACAATACAGATAACAAAATATACATAAAAGATATATTGTTTCATAATATTAAAAACAATGGTGATAGTAATAGACAAATTAATCAGACTACAGAGTTACATATCATCAAATTTGTTTGACAACCCTTATCATTTTAAAGGTAAAGACCAGTTTTGGAAACGCCCCCCTCTCAACAAATGAAATGGAAGCTCTTATTACCAATCATGTGAAAGAATATGTTTTGACTAGTACGTGATGATACAAATTTTGCCGAGAAACCGCCTACTAATTGATATATTTGGTAAATTAGTATATCTATTTAGACCTGATAGATATCGCGCTCGTGTCGCGTAGTCCCTTATACATCTTTCTGTGTACAGTGCTTGTAACCAAGACTGGGCCAAATTTCTCATAATTTTGATGATTCCAGAACCTTGCAGTACACACCAATACTAATATGCTAGATGATCAACCTTTTCTGATCGATTCCACAACGTTTCTTTCACAATGCAATCTCATGACCAGAACTCGTCTTTATCTTTAAAGGAAACCCAGACAAGAAAAGAAAAACACTATGAAATGTGCAGGAACCTATATAAATCTATATTTGTTTCCACGATTGTCTGTATCTGATTATTACAGGGCGTCTGTTGACTTGCTAAAGTGTCAATGTTCGCCTTATTGATATAAACTACCATGATAACATCACTCAATAGCCATCGAATCAACGTTTCCATGGAAGGTGACATCAATGCTATTAATTTTTATGCAAAAGTGACCAAGCGTATTTAATTGGTACCTGGCAATTCTGGGAGTAATAATCATAATTGCAGAGCCCGTAGAAAGAGCAGTATTATTAGCGATGTGGCTAGCCCAGCATTGTGAGATACCTATTACTTCACCTCGGTCGAGATACATATATTAGCAAATCCACATTATCGATTTTTGCTGTTGTTAATATTAACATAATTATTGGCGATAGTAGTGGTAGTAGTACTATTTTTGCTGTTGTTTATACCTCTTGCAATAAATTAATCTTCCTCTCTATTTATCCAACAGATGCAACATCCCACCGCTGGTGCCGTTTGAACGAGACGCCGGAACCAAAAGTAACTTTACCACGATGAACCCGAGTATATTGAATAAAAGGTTGTGATTCGATGCCTCTAGAAGAAAATCAAACTGAAATCAAACTGAAATCAAACATTTACAATTCCAGGGCCCCGTCTTACAAAGAGTTGCGATTGATCCAAATCAATCGAAAGTTCTCCAATCATTCGCAAGTTTGCAGTCTCCTATCTCTTATGTACATAGTTTCGATTGATATCAATCACAAATAAGTTGTGATTGATATCAACTCTTTGTAAGAAGGGGCCCTGATCTGTTCCTACTTGATACAATATTTGAAATGAATAAAAGGCTGTGATTAGATGCAAACGGAAAAACTCAAACTCGAATCTAACATGCGCTATTCGTGATCTATATTCATATTTCATAGAATGACAGTTTTTGTTATAAGCTAATAAAATCCTTGCTTCTGAATGGTTATCAGAAGATTTGTCACTGATTTTGTAATTTGCCATTGAAAAAAGGCTTTGTGAAACAGGTCCCAGGTCTATTCATATTTTCACTTAATTCATGATGTTTGAAGGTCTTTTGAATTAGCATTCTTGATTGTATACAACGGAGGGGGGGGGGGGGGGGCCAGTCTTACGTTAGGTATGTCCAAAATTTGCGGTTTTCATTATTGAAAAGACGAGTAGCTTTTGAACTGTGGAGTTATGTTTAGTGGCAAATTTATTTTTCAAAGTCCCAGATATGATACTCTATCAGCTATTAGAATGAATGTTGCTAAAACATTGTTTGTATGTTCCAAGAAGAAAGATGGTAAATCAACCATGATTTTTTTTTTGAGAAAAGAAATGATGTTTCAAACTATACTCTGATTTAGCAGGATACAAAATAAAATCAACCATACAAATAACGAAAGAAATGGCGAGATCTTAGAGTAAAGTTTCTATTGCTATCATCTCTCTCTCTCTCTCTCTCTCTTTCTCTCTCTTTCTCTCTCTCTAATCGCTCTCTTCCTCTTATCAATTGATGATGTACCCGAGTGCAAAGAAAGAATGTTTGTGTAGGTATGCAACGAGGAGGACCTATGCGGTAAGTCCTATGCGAGGGACTTGGTAGTTTGGAATTATGGGTCATTAATATAGAACATGGGTTCCTACAGTTATGAGAACTGATTCACCACGAAGTAATCACCCCCCCCCCCCTCTCCATCCTCTCTCGATCCCCTCATGATCAAATTCTGTACATTACTGTTGTTTTATCATTCACGCCTTTGTCTTTACATCTTCTGTTGTTTTTTGCTATACAGGTACCAAAGCCTCAAGGTAGACGAACAAATCGACCAGTTCAATGACTTCATGTCGCAGTTCAATGGCGTGATACTGTCAGTGTGTCACGGATTTGCCATTCCAATTTCCACCATCATGAGGGCCATGGGAAACTTGAAACGGGAGCAACTGAAAATTGTGTGTGCCAATCCCATGCATGTCCAATCCGTGGCCGAATTTTGGCTTGAGAGAAATATCAGAGCAAGGCTATCTACTGGTAATCACTTACGTAGTAGGGTTATATTTTTTCGTATCCCACTCCAGAATATTTCTTTTTCATAGATTGGTCAAGAGGTCTTCACGTGATCAAATATAATTATGTAGAACCAGAACAGCATTCCCCTTTACAACTGTACATGTTATCTGTGACGTCAGAGTAAGATAATTTCTAATTTATTCCTACGCACAGGGAATCTTGAAATATGATTGGTCAAATGTGGTCACATGACTGAGGATAGATGGCCTCGCTATCCCGAAGGCCGTAGATAGGGTCGAAGATGTTCCAATCTGTGGATCTTTAAAGTGTAACTCGGTAGACAGACATTCCCGCCGTCGCGGCATTAAGACCTCACATTTTATAGCAAGTACTAATAGTAATAAGATCAGAAGTTCAAGGTACATATCAATGTTGGATATAACTCAAATAATAATTTCTGTACTCCAGCGAGAATGCGCAGACACCAGATGCCCACCTTTATTTAGCGGATGGCCAAATCCTCACGCTATACCGCGTTGCAATGACAGATGTGTGTTTGTGCCATATGCTGAAGTCTTTGTACTAACTGAAATCCAATTAAACTAAATATTCTAATGGGGGATATAAATAGCCATAACAAAACCAATACCTTAATTAGATCGGAGATATTAGCGAAATCTGTAGTAGCCATTTTCTCGGGAGCTGTATTCCAAGAAATATTCCTGTAACCTCGATGGGCCCGTACCAATAAATTTGATTAACTCGAGTTTCGATCTGAAAGCATATTTGATCATAAATCTACTCAATATCAGTGCTTTGAATTAGTGAGAAGACAAAACCATGTATAAAGTGCTGGAGGATAAGGACATTTTAGATTTCATCTGCGATTTATTAAAAAAATGTTTATACCATAATGATGATTAAGTGAGAACATATGATGCTGACGGACAAATACGTATCATTTCATTTTGTTTACCATGCAGGTTTTTATATGGTAACAACCGCCATCCAGTTATGTGATGAGGTGGAACTGTATGGCTTTTGGCCCTTTTCGGAGCGATTTGGGGAGAACAAGACTAGCGTGCCGTACCACTATTTCGATGAGTCCTCCTGCAAGACATCGAACAGAGTTCATACCATGGATAAAGAGTTCGCCATCCTTGTACAGCTGCATAATCTTGGTATTATCCGTATTAATATGGCATCGTGCAGTTAACGAAAAAAGTAGCATGTGTGAACTGAGTTTCCCCTTGAATTGTCAAAGTGTATTTGATCATAATCGTCGAAGAGGGAGGGGGGAGAGGGACGGGTAGTATTTGACACCTCCTCCCTCCCACCCCTCCCCCCCCCCCCCTACAACATCCACCACGACTGCAGGGCAGTCGCATTGTTGTGAAAATACTGCTGTACCATGGCGTGGGGGGGGGGGGGATGGCTGTAAAAAAAAATGTAAAATGTGCCATCCAGGCCGGATCTTGCCGTCTTAAAATCTATCTATCCATGCAAAAGTTATGTATGCAAGTATATTCATTTAATTAGCAGCAATTTTAAATGTGTGTACAACTCTTTTTAAACTAGAGATGGCGTAATCACGTGTACAGTACTTTACTTCGTGTGCGTGTATTTTTCTACGTATGTGACTGACAATTTTTAAGGCTCTAATTGAGAACGAACTACGCAAGGAACCAACAACCCTCGTGAAGCATACTGAAGGGAAACGTTTTCACTAGGTCTGCAAGAGCGACACCTGTGTGGCCGTTGTTCGATATGATTGCAATCCCATTAGATTAATGACTGATGCATTGTAATATTAATTGGACACGATGCAGTGTCTGGCATATACAAGGCACTAGTGATATAGCCACGACGATGTACACACTTTTTTTTTACTCGAAAGTAACATGGATTTATTAAGCAACTATCATTATAAGTGTAAATATTTTACCGTCAGTTTATTACGAAGTATCAGATTGTTTCCTTATGAATGAGTCATGATTATTAACGGAATAAGAAATGAAAGTAACACCTTTTGCAATACTGAAACTACCTTATTTTGCCTTTCTATAACTGAAATGACAATGTTTTCAGTACATATTTCATAAATGATATTTATGCATAAAATAATTTTACGTGGACAATGTATACGGGATAAAAAAAAAACCTGATATACATGCTATGGCATCACTATTTCTAGATATTTATCAAATTGAATATTTTAAAGGTACTGTGTCCCATTTGCAGGCCAAAAAATGAAAAGGTTTAATTTCAACGGCATTTGAAATACGATACCAATTAAGAACTTCCCTCAAAACGAAAGGGCTTCAAAAATGTCTTTTTGTGGCAAAATAACGACCGTTATTGAGTTGTCAATTCGACTTTAGGGATTTTAGTTCTTTTTTTTTTTTTTTTTTTAAAGTCTGATTTTCAGACCTTTGTACCGAATGGTCGTACGTTTTTGTGCTGCGCGAAGATTCAATCAGTTTAATTTTGGTCATTACGAGATGTACCCTTTACAGCTTATTCTATGTATGTTATTACCAAAGAAAAAAAGAAGTCAGTCAGTCACGCAATAGTGTCTGACAGCGAAGTCTAGAAAGTAAACTGCACGCTCAAATTTCACAGATAGGACATACGTGACATATTCATAATTCCTGCAAAGTTCTACAAAATTTGATGTTGGCCGCAAAAGGGACACAGTACTTTGAAGGGAACATATTATTTTTAGGAGTCACCTGGTAAAAAAGTACTGTATAATTGGGATTTTTTTTTTTTTTTTTTTTTTTTTTTTTTTTGGGGGGGGGGTCGAATTGCAAATCACTTAATCTGTCATATAAACCTCTATACCCCCAAAACGATATTTCTTCATCTATCTTTTGTGCAATATTTTGTTACATTGCATTTGTATATTAACGATTAATTTATATATATATATAAATATATATAGTGATATGTTGAAAGCAATATAATTTTAACTTATGCAGTACCGTGTGAGTCAAAAAAAGTTTACACCTAGAAAATTGCTAATTATTTTCAAATTCATCTATGAACAGTAACTTATTATACATCTTATGAAAGAGTGTTTTATCCCAAATCATTTGGTATCATTTTTGTGTTGTATGTGTTCACGCTTGGATGAACAGAAGGTATTGTTTGCGAGAGTGCAAAAATCGACTTGCGCCAAAGTGATGCCTTCAGTATGTATTATGTTGGGATTAGTGTAGTGAGAGAATGAATTGAATGTATCAAATGAAATGCATTGCATATGCTTTTTGCAAAGGGCAAAGTCACACCACCCACACACACGCGCACAAATGTTCGTTGATATTTGATATTCGATATTTGATATGTGTGGCATGATTAATTTTGTTAGGGATGTTATTTGGATCTACAAAGACCGAGTCAATACCCAAATCCAAATAGTTTTATTCAAACATCACATAAGCAACTTTGGCGCAAGTCGATTTTTGCACTCTCGCAAACAATGCCTCGTGATCATCCAAGCGTGAACACATACCACACAAAAATGGTACCAAATGATTTGGGATAAGACACTCTTTCATAAGATGTATAATAATTTACTGTTCATAGATGATTTTTTAAATAATTAACAATTGTCTAGGTGTAAACTTTTTTTTGACTCACTCTGTATATTACAATGTTTTAGGAAATTTAGTTATTTACCCTTCAACAACAAAAAAATGAATTATGGGGTGCAACAAAGGCAGTTGTCAAAAAAAGTGCCTCAATACCGTTCTCAGCTGCAATTTCCGAGAAGGTGCAATCAGGGTTTTTACATTTTATTTACTTTAGTTAAAATGCTTCTATATGAGTTTTTTTTAATGTTTGCCAAGGAACATCTCTAATCAACATTTAGAAAGACCAAATTCTAAGGAGTTACATCGGATACTTTAAAAAATGTAGATTTAACACTTTCTATCTTCATAGTGTTGTATCCAGAGATGTATGTAGATAGCAGTAAGCATTTCTATATCTTGCCTGTACTTCTGCGTCATTTTTGTTTGTGTGTTTGTGTATTTTTACAATGCAATTTTTGAAGTATATTTTTAATGCATCTATTGCCTTGGATAAAAGCAGCCATGCTATCTAAAGAATCTTAAAGATCCTTTTGTGTATTGCGTGTTTCCACTATATTACTTATTTTGCATTTCGTTGATTGAGCTCTATAATCTAAATCTGTTTTTGAGAGGGTGGGGCAATCCATGGAGCAAATGATGCTGTTGCACCGTACACAGCCCAGTTGGTTGCCCAAAAAAGCAGGGGTGGAAATTGAAGAGTATGTTATGGCATCAGTATTGTCATTAAAATGTTTATGATTTTACCCTGGGGTGTAACAGAAGCTTGTGAGGATTGCAGAAAGCCCATGTGCAGTCAGACCTGTCTATTAAAGCCTGGTCCCTGCGTAGACAGGTGGCCTTTATAGAAGGGTTCTTCAACTAGAGGGAGCCAATATGGATGGCCACTAAAGACAGGTTTGGCTGTAATTGCCATTTAGTATTGGTCTACATGAATGCATTGTGTGCGGAGCATAAGGAATGCAAGAAATACTCCCCAAGGAGTGGAGATGATGCACATAATGCAGACGGGCTTGCAATTCAGTGAACAAGATTATCTGTCCGGACCAGTTTCTATATTTGTAGATTATATAATTATATATATATATATAATTTGATGTCATGCCTTCTTCGCCACTAGTGTAACATAAAAGTGATTACTGAGCTTTCAAGAGTCATATTCAAAGTCTTAATGATTTGTTCTGTTATTAGATTGGACAAAAGATATTCTTTGTGAAGAAAATGTGTAATGCATTTATCTGATTTTCTCACAGGAAGACCCCCAAAATATGTATATTCTTGGTTCAAACATATCATTTACCCCTTCTATTATTATAACAATGGACTGGATGTACCGCCATTAACACAAAAAGGGAATTACGTGTACGTCTCTAGATATTGCTCCCTATACATGTACGAAACGATGTCCTTGTAACCGTTGTGTCAAAAGCTGGCCTCAAAAAGTTGAGAACTCTTAACAACAGCTACATATAAAAGAGAGAACTTATGGTCTGTTCTTTTTGTGCTAAGCTGGTTGAAAAAAGACTCATTTTATAACCTACTTAATGGAATTTTAATCTGACTCAGTATTTTTATCAGCGATTCAATAATATTGTTACAGCGAGATCTTTGAATCTTAAGACTGGTTTATTTTGTTTATAGTGACATTTCTTCGCAATCCAGCAGTCTGTTTCTTTGTCTTTGTTTATTTACGTTTCTTAATTTTTTAAAATGTATATTATGTATGTGTTTATAAATGTTGCTGTTTTCGTTTTTGTATTTTGTATATTCTTTTTATATGACGCAAATCAAAACAGACATCGAACAAATGGATTTAATTACATTATCCAAGCGGGATATGTCAGTTTTAAAATACTGCTATTTTTCTTTTCTTTATACCCCAGTCACACCGCCAAACCGACCGATTTTTGACCTGGGGGGTGTTTCACAAAGATTCTAAGTCAAACTTAACTCTAAGTTGGACTTAAAAATTATGGACAGCCATTGGAGCCTTAAAATGAAATATATCCAAAAGCAGAAATTCAAGTGTTTTAGACTTTTTTTATAAATTCCACGCCAAGAACATGAAATCTCCCATGATAATAGGAAATATGAATGATTTGAATCAACATTTTATGCCTTCTACAAAGAAATTTACAAAATGTTTTCAAGGATGCTAATGGCTTCCCATAATTTTTAAGTCCAACTTAGAGATAAGTTCAACTTAGGATCTTTGTGAAACACCCCCCAGGAGTGGGTAATGTCCATTTCTGTTCGGTTTGTAGTTGGTCTTGTGTTGGTCTCGTTGGTGTGACTGAGGTATGATAAGAAAAATATATATAGCGACGGGACTTAAAGGGATAGTTGAGTTCTGTTGCAGAGGGCGCTACACAAAATATTTTTTTTTTGTGAGATAATGATGAAAAACGGCTGAGTGTCAAATTTGAAAGAACATAATATTTGAATGACAAAATCATCTTCGTTCGATCAAAATCGATTCAGAGACGGCTGAAATGTAACGATTTCTAATACTTGTGTACCACCACAAATATTAGATATTTGAAAAATTTGAAAAAAACCGTTTGAAAAAACGAAATAACGCCTTTTACGTCGTATTTCAGCCAATGCCGCTGTTGGCTTTTTGTTGGCATTTTCGTGTTGCTTATAATACGCACAACCAGCCGGCCCATGTATTGATATTTTTAATTAAAAATTAACGGTCACCATGTTTTTTTGAAAGTGGAGCTGAATTGGTATGATCGTATTGGATAAATTTCACACTTTTTAGGGTCTAAAATTACCTTCATTGCAATTTTAGGTTCTAAAAGGGCACTAGAAATGTCATAGATAAGAATAAGAGAAATGGCCATGCACTTTGAAGGCATTTGTGGTCTGAAAACAGAACTCAACTATCCCTTTAAATTGTGTGTATAATCGTACTGAAACTGAAAGTTGGGTCAATTCTCCTCCCGTGCCTAATATATTTGCTGTGTCAATCGATTGCCACTATAGTCCATATTATATCTATGTGTATTCGTTATATTATGCTGGTGCTGTTGTTTTAGTTCAACTTGATATTGACTCAAATGAAAAAATTAATGAATTTCCTGACGACGAAATGAAATTGAAATAAAGTTGAATTTTATAAATTATGGCAAATGTCCGTTTGAAGAGTTATTCTGGTCTAGGTCATGGATTTGGGAGTGGGTCAAAGGCTGAGGCGCTCAAGGGAATCCCTTTCTCTATTACTCATTTACCTATCTCGGTTGAGCTGGCAAAATAATGTAGATATTAATGTATTGATGTATTGATGATGATGATGATAATTATACAAATTATATTATTTTTTTTTTTAAATAAAAATTGAATATGGTAATAATAACTTGACATTATAAGACGGCTTCAACGCCCATGCTGAGGCTCCAAACGTCTCGTCTTCTTCTGCACACTCCACTTGGTCTTACAACCGTGTTCTCTCGCATTTCATCCACTTACACCCCTGTATCTCACCAATGTTCCCCGACATCACCAAAATATATTTCTGGTTCACAACCTTCTAGTTAACACAAGATTAGCAAAGCTTTAGTA